GTATGTCGATTGAAAAAGAGCTTGTATGGACTTAAACAGACTCCTAGGCAGTGGTACAAGAAATTCGAATCTATTATGATTCAACAAGGGTACAAGAAGACTGATGCTGACCCTTGTGTTTTCGTGCAGTGGTTCTCAAGTAATGATGTTATCATCTTACTTCTTTATGTAGATGATATGCTCAAAGTAGGCTCTTCAGCCTCGAAAATAAATAATTTGAAGAAAGAGTTAAGCAAGCATTTTTGGATGAAGGATTTGGGGCCAGCTAGAAGTATTCTTGGGATGTATATTTCTCGAAATAAGGAAGAAAAAAAATATGGTTATCCCAAGAGAAATATATCGAAAAAGTGTTGCAGCGGTTCAACATGGACAAGGCCAAAACTACTTCTACCCCGCTTGCTGCTTCGTTTAAATTGAGTGTGAAGCAATGTCCTTCTACTGAGAAAGAAAAGGAAGATATGCAGCGGATTCCTTATGCCCCAACAGTTGGAAGTTTGATGTACACCATGGCGTGTACTCGGCCGGATATAGCTCACGCAGTTGGTGTTGTCAGCCGATTCATGTTGAATCCTGGAAAAGAGCATTGGAGTGCAGTGAAGTGGATTTTGAAATATCTTCGGGGAACTTCGAGTATGAGGTTGTGCTTTGGTACTGAAAAGCCGGAGCTTGTTGGTTATACAGATTCTGATATGGCCGGAGATATTGATAATAAGAAGTCTACTTCTGGATACTTGATAACTAATGCAGGGAGAGCTATTTCATGGCAGTCCCGATTGCAGAAATGTGTTGCACTCTCTTCCACCGCGAAGAAACGCCGTCTTGACATCCATTTGCTCCACTTCTAAGTCAAGACAAGCAGGCAAACCCAGGATAACACGAATAGAAGTCATCTTGATAACCTGTGAAAAAATCTCCTCAAAATCAACACCATGTTTTTTACTAAAGCCCTTCACAACAAGTTTGGCTTTGTGTCGAGGAGAGGATAAGTGTTCTTCATGCTTCACCTTATAGATCCATCTATTTTTCAAGGCCTTTCTATCACTTGAAAGCTCAACTAACTCATACGTGTCATTAGCATGTAGGGATTGCATTTTATCTCTCATAGCAACAATCCACTTTTCTTTTTCAGGACTCTGAACGTCTTCTTCATAATCCTCAGGCTCTCCATTCTCGGTCAAGAGCACATACTCCGTAGATGAATACCTAGTGGAGGGTTGTCTATCCCGGGCAGACCTTCTCAATGAAGATTCTGCCATATCCACCGAATCCGAACCAACATCAACATCATTAACAACATCATCGCTGACAGACTGATTTTCATCACCATCCAATTTTGGTATAAGAACTCGATTTAAATAAATCAAGTATTTATTTTGAACATTTGGCTTTTGGTTCGTCTCAACGTCCTCAATCGTTTGATCCTCTATGAATACAACATCACGGCTTCTGACAAGCTTTTTCTCAATAGGATCGTAACACCTATAGCCAAATTCATCATCACCATAGCCAATAAAGATGCACTGTCGAGTCTTAGCATCCAACTTGGATCGTTCATCCTTAGGCACATGAACAAAACACTTGCATCCGAAAACTTTGAGGTGATAATAAGATACTCTTTTTTCGTACCACATTCTGTCAGGAACATCTGTCTGCAAAGCCACTGTAGGAGTCAGGTTGATAATGCGAGCAACTGCATATAAAACCTCATCCCAGAAATGTTGAGACAATTTAGCATCCGAAAACACGCACCTGACTCTCTCCATCAACATTCTATTCATCCTTTCTGCCAAGCCATTTAGTTGCGGAGTTTTAGGAGGCGTCTTCTGATGTCGAATACCATGCTTTCGACAATAAGCATCAAATGGTCCACGATATTCACCTCCATTATCGGTCCTAATGCACTTCAAGTTCTTACATGTTTCTCTCTCAACAGAAACATGAAACTCAACAAAAGCATTAAGAACCTGATCCTTCAATTTCAACACTCGAACCCATAATTTTCTTGAGTGATCATCAATGAAGGTAACAAAATAAACTGCACCTCCGAAAGACTTTACCTTCAAAGGACCGCACACATCAGAATGGATCAATTCAAGAATATCTCTTTTCTTCGTAGGAGGGTGATGAACAAAAGAAACTTGTCTTTGCTTTCCCACAAGGCAATGTGAACACTTATCAAGCTGAGCACGTCTAACACCAGGGAGTAGATTCTTTCTCGCCAAAGTATCGAGTCCTCTCTCACTAATGTGACTTAATTTCCTATGCCATAAGCTCGAAGAACTCTTATTCTGAACTGCATTAACACCATTCGCAGAAATAATAGCATGAAACCAATATAAACTGAACTTTTTCTTACCCTGAGAAATTACCATAGAACCTTTGGTAATATTCCATTTTCCATCACCGAAATGGCAGGAATATCCACCATCATCCAACCTACCAGTGGAGACTAGATTCAATTGAACATCGGGAGCATGCCTCACATCCTTCAGCACTAGTGTGTATCCACTACTGGTATCCAAACACACTGTTCATGTGCCTACTACTTTCGCCAAACCATCATTTCCCATCTTTAAGACTCCAAAGTCTCCCGGAGTATATGATGTGAAAAAATCCCTATTGGCAGTCACATGGAATGCAACTCCACTATCCACAACCCAACTAGTCTCATTTTGGGTAAGATGAATTCCCTCTTCCTTATACACAATGACGAGATCCTCTGGCATTATCGTATTCACACGGTCATTGCACCTATCATCATCTTTCTGCTCATACTTGTTGTCCTTACCTTTCTGCTTCTTTTTCAACTTAAAACAATACCTTTTGATGTGTCCCTGTTTGCCACAATAATGACACTCAAGGTCTTTGTATTTTGGCTTTGACTTACTTCTTCCTCAACTCTTTTCTTGATTCCCATGATCTCGGCCTATATTCCAACTTCTCCCCCTATTATTCGTAACTAGGATCTCCGAATGAGAAGATGAAGTGCCAAAAGTTTTCCTGTTCACCTCTTCATTCAAAATGACACTTCTAATAAACTCAAAAGTGACTATCCCATCGGGTGCAGAATTAGGCAAAGAGACTCTGAAACCTTCCCATGGATCTGGAAGAGTATTAAGTAGCCATAAACCGAGTACTTCATCATCAAAATTCACTCCCATGCCTGATAGCTGATCAAAACATCCTTGAAACTCATTTATGTGATCGGAAATGGACTTGCTCTCATGATAACTCAGTCGCATAGCCTGCTTGAGTAGAAACAACTTATTGTTACCAGTCTTCGAAGCATATAAGTTTTCCAGCTTGTCTTAAAATATTTTGGCATTGCTCTCATTCACAATGTGATTCAAAACATTGTCCTCTGCCCATTGCCTTATGAAACCACATACTTGTTGATGCTCCAATTCCCAATCTGCATCACTAGTTTCAACATCAGGCTTTGCAGCATAAAACACTGGCCCGTTTAACTTCTTCACATATAGAAGATCAGTTATCTTCCATTTCCAAACATAATAGTTTGTTCCATCTAAACAAATCATTATTCCCAAGTTCACATCCATCTTTCAATGGTAAGCGTGGTCACGCCTAAGCAGTGTGTTCAAAGTGTTCCCCCAAAACCTTTGCCTTCATTCAATTATTTTTTCTACCAAAATAAGATGAATGATAACCACCAATAAACAACGGAAATAACAATATGAGACACCAAAACTTTTAACGTAGAAAACTCCTTCAAAGTGAAGGATAAAAACCGCGAGGCCTATCACCCGACCCAAGGCAAAATCCATTATATCAAAAAAGGTTTGTACAATCAAAAGATAATCACAACCAAAAGGGCTATCAAACTCCACACACCCAATTACAATAATCGAACCCCAATCATAAGAGATCTCCTAACTACAAACAACTCATTCCAATTCCCAACCAATAAGATTCAAAATCGAATCCAAACAAATAAGGAGAAATCAACGATACCAAAAGGAACATCCGAAGATGACGAGACCGTTGATCGGAACAGAGTTGAAGAAATTCTATCTTGCTTGCCGATTCTCTCGCGTGCGTGGATAACAATTGTCTCTCTCAATCTCTACACCCAATTGACCCCTCTCCCAACTAAGACGGTTAGGGCAACAATTGGTAAAAGTTTCTTTTTGGGCTAACTTGAATTGTTAGGTCTCTACGCATAGAAGGAACCCAAACCCAACAATTTTTTCATATATGGGATACCTCATCACGTGGACCACTATCAGTATATTCAAGACAGTTTCTGAGTTACCAACTAAATGGGCCTCCATAACATTTGTGTCGAAATAACAAAGGCCTAGTCTTCAACCGAAGTCCATCTATTATCAAGATATTTTGTAAATATTAAGAGAACTCCAGACAAAGAAACAAGTAGTAACATTATTATTACCTAGTATTATCTATCTTGTTCATTTGCATTGATTGAAATTGACATATTTTTATCATTTAAGTTGTAGGTAATTGAAAAAAAAAATGATAAAAAATAGAGTTGTTCCTCAACACAGTGCTTCAATTACTCCAACAAAGTTGAGGCTCAACAATAAAAATTGTTCACACTTCTTGGCAACAGTATTGTGGGCTGAACAATCACCATTTCCTTGTAAAATGAAAGAAATACAAGCATGAAGTCCCGTAAGAGACGGTCTAGTGGTGTGGGGGTTGGACGTGTGACCCTAAGGTCATAGGTTGAAACCGTCGACGCTTCAAGTAAGTGCGTACTTCCGATTAGCGGCTATGGATTCCCACATCATAAAAATAAAAATAAAAAAAATATAAAAAACTTACGCTGGTGCTACTGCTTGCATATATATATATATATATATTATAAAGTTTATGGCTGGAACAAACACTAGGACAAAGTAAAGATGCGTTCATCTTAGGCCTTAGCTTAGCTGCCCTCCACTATATACAGAGATATACATACATAATTAATAAGAAAGAAAGTGGCGAATGAGAATCACGACTGTTTCACTTTGCCATTCCATCAAATAAATATTTTGTTTATTGTTATTATTATTATTCCATTAGATAGATGTGTAGTAGATGTAGATTCATGCTGCTGCTGCTTGCAACCATGATACAACCAGCAAAGCAACAAAAAGAAAAACAAAAGAAAACAAAACACATACACGTACGTAAAAACAAACAGCCGATCGATCTTTATTAATAATTATCCTCTGCGGGCATTGGCATTGGCATTGGCATTGGCATTGGGCTTTCTAGTGAGGGAGAGGTGGATGCCGGGGTCGTTGTTTCGGAAAGTACAGTTGAAGAGAATGGAGTTGTTGAGCCCCTGCACGTTGCTGTTCAAGCTTGCCTTCATCGGAGGACTCTGCTGCTGCATTAACATCGACCTGTTGTTGCTAATCTTTTTCTCCTCTCCAGATTTCTCTTCATCATTCTCATTCTCATTCTCATTCTCATTAGAAGAAGTTCCCAGCCTGTTTCCTCCTTGACGCTTCTGAAGGCCTGCAAAGTAGTTTTTCTTTGGGGCGGGGGCAAGGTTCATTTCCATTATAGCTCCTTTATTATCACCAGCAAGCGTGATCATTCTCATCCCTGTCGCCACCTCTTCAGTCTTGCCTGGGCCCTTATCTTTCAAGGCTGGTTCCCGCTTTCCATTTGAAGAAGGGGCACCATTGTTGTGGGCTCTGTGCCTATTCATTGGCTTGTCAATGCTTTGTTGAAACAGCACGCCCTTTTGGTCGATCTTGGCTTCAGGTTCCCCCTCCCGATCTGCAGTGACTTGGGCGGGAGGTAGTGTGAAATCAGGCGGAGAAGGAGGTGCAGTCCTGAACTTAGGAGATTGCGCAGGGGTTCGCTCCAAGGGCTTGACTACTTTTGGCGACGGCACGGTTGCATCAGCAGCCTTGTTGATTGTTTCAGTGGCTTTTGAGACTGGTGAAGTTGGCATTGTAGCTTCTGGTTTTGTTTCAGGGGAGGATGGTGCAGGACGAGCCTCTGCAGAATTTGACGGTAGTCTTGAATACCTTTCAGTTGGAGATTTGGGTGCAGGAGCTGAAGCTGGTGCTGGGGTTGGGGTTGGGGTTGGGGGCCGTGATGCAGGTGGAGACGGCTGAGCAGCAGCTGTGGCAGGGGCAGGGGCTGCTGCAGATGCTGCCACTGCCCTTTGCGGTGATGGTTGGGAAGCAGCTAGAGGTGATGCTCGGGGAGATGGCGCCGGCCTTACTGATGGAGCCTGAGGAGACGCTGGCGGTGCTGCAGCAGGACGAGGTTCAACAGCTGTTTGGGGTCGTGGAGGGGCCGGTTCCTGAGCTTGTGTTGGTGGAATGGAAGGCCTAGTAGGAAATGAAGGCCGGGCAGCAGTTGGGACTGGGGCTCGCGGACGAGCAGCAGCAGGAAGGGCCGGACGGGCAGGGGCTGGGGCAGTTGGTGGTGCCGGCGCTGGAGCACGCCCAGCAAGAGAGGGCCATCGAATCCATGCTGGACGGGGCTGCTGGCTCGCCATTTTCGGTTGCTCCTCCTAATCTGCAATGGTGTAAATTATTAGGAGGGATGTGGTGAAATAGCAAGGGCGCAGGGGAGACATTTATAAAGGACATGAGATGAGAAAACAAGCATGAAATACGTGTAAGAAGAAGGTAAGAAAAGTATCAGATGCAAGTGCAACATTGCAGCTAAGGAAAAGCTGTCTTACAATTTTAAGGTTGGTATCAATATTACCACTCCTGTCATGTAACTGTGAGATACGGAAAGGGTGAAAGTGCAGCGCCCCCCCTCCCCTCACTGAAAGAAAGATTGTTTTAACATTGTCTTATGCCTCACACATGTCCCATTTCGCCTTTTCCGCAGCAATCAATACCCGTAGCCAATGCCAACAATCAACCGCTCAAAATCAACCCTTCACGTTTGTGCCAATCCAGTTCATAATGCACACTCAAAACTCACGTGTATATATATATATATATATATATTCAAAACAGTGTATGCATACCATGATTCTATGTTCAGATGAGTTGCACCGGCAATCGATGACCGTCGTTGCTCCAAATAAGCACAAGATCTTCACCTTTATCTTTCCTGCGATTTAAGATTCGGACCGCTTTTTGTTTGTTATTCCGCTGCTGACTTTGCTTGCCGAGAGGTTGATTCTATATGCTGTCACTCCTTGTACAATTTTCGGCTGGGAGTTTCGAGCAAAGTTCCAAGTTTTAACGGAGCTCAACTATGCTCGCCTCTTGTGCATTTCTCCATCCCAATTGTCAATTTGCCAAGGACAGTGATGTCAACCTGCAACTTCCAGTGTCTTCTCTCTAAGATTGTGCTACAAGCAAGCACTCTGCACTAACAAAAGAATTCTGCACATGATTTCAGCAAGGAAGACTACGTTACAATTATAAAATTGGATGGAATATATTCTTGAGTGTCACGATCAAAATGCCTTCCCCTGCATTTGCAAAGTTTTTTTATACACATAAAGTTGATACGCCCAGAATCTAACCAACAGCAAGATAACTTAAACCTTACAAATTTGCACAGTACAGTTGCCTGTCACAGCAACTAATGCTCAACAACAAATGGATATCATTGTAATTACATGTCACATGATCAGTAGAATTCCATGTTAAGTAACCAAAGCTCCTGATGTCTTTCAGAACTCAAACTTATTTAAATACAAGAAGACATTAAAGGGAATATACATAGATATTTCATTGCCTTCTATGTGGAATATATCAGTGGACAGAAAATTATTAGATACAAATTAACTTACAACAAGGAGCAATCCAAATACAGGAAATAGTCGATTTCAAGGCCACTGAGTGAATTCAAAAACCTTGAAGACAATCTCAATTCCAGTAGGAATCTGCCAAATGAAAAGAGTCACATTCAACACGTTGAGCGCAATGTGGAGATTTCTGGCAGTTTCACTTCCCTTCTGCATTGCAGGGACTAATGCTGCAGCTGCTGCCCATAGAACTGTAATTGCTGCAGTTTTATACAGAAATAAAAACAAAATGTAAGAGAAGTGCATCGCCACTATCAAATGTGGAACTGATTTGATAAATACAAGCTAAAAAGACACTTTGATATATTCTGATCATTTTACAAGATGAGGTAATATTTTTTGCACGGTGTCTTACCAATTTAAGGGAATGTTTCTTTGACAGATTAAATAATCAAATAGCTAACTTGGTATCATCCTGTAAGGGAAAATTAGACATGATCTCGATTTGGCAAACTAAATTACATATGTGGAGTGTTTGATTGACCATATAAGCTTTCTTTTCCACCAAAGAGATTTGAGAAAGCACTTTAGCCAAGCTTCTTGAAGGCAGGTGATTGATTGTGTTTGAGTATAGAACAAAATTTATAGACAAGTAGCAATCATAACTTTTTACAAGAAAAGGCACATCATCTGCTTCTTGTTCAAGTAACCAAATATGAATCTTCTGAAATTGGCAATTCACCAGCTTATCAAGTAAATTATAATACATTAAAATTCACAGTTGTTTAAGCCATATAAATTATTTTATCCAGACAAATCAGAAATCATTAAAAATTCAATATTACAATGCAATGAGCCAGCAAATTGGGTTGATGGAGCCAAGGTGAGCTTGATTCAACACTCAACTTAAGCTCCCAGTCAAACTATGTGATTTTCTTTTCACGTCAATCAAAATCATCAAACTTCCATGATCATCAAATATCAGACCACTGACCAGAATCTTAAGACACATTTTTAATAATTATCTATGCACATGTGATATATTAATGATGTTGATGATTAAGTGTTCACCTAAACATGAAAGAGGTTAGCAGCTCAAATGCATAAAGGAGACTTTTATAAAATCTCCGAAATTCATGTCAGACTTGACTCAAGCACAACTTTACACAATTTTCAACCCTGTAGTGCAAATTACGAGCCATAATAGCATATCAGCTTAAAAATTACAAGCAAACAACGGTGAAAACAATAAAATGAAAAAAGACATTATATTAAACAGATCAAAATTTCTAATATTATCCAACCAAAGAAAATTTTTAAGTCATTTATAAAAATTGACTGTGGATCTTGCAATGCTGCCGAAACTAGAGTGCTAAACGGGACTACATGATATTGAATTACCTGCACCGGAAAATAAATGGGGTCCTGGGAATAACTTTCCAGTCCTGAACCAGGTGTTTAACCCTCCAAACACAGATTCAAACACCCCAAATCCGAGCAAAATGGAGCCAGCATTAAAGTGCTTATCTCTGTATGATCCCTTGATCAGGTCTTTTCTTTCCTGAATTCAATTAAAGGGCAACAGCACACAAGTTGAAGCTACCCCAACAAGGATCCAAATACGGATCTCACAACACAATATTTGATTACATAACAAAAACATTTGATTACCTTAAAATGAAAAATAAAATAAAAGCGACGCTTGGAAGTAGCGAATGGATTACCTCGGTGAGCTGCTGAATCTTGAGCTCAGCAGGCGATGGTTTCGGTGGTTCGGGAGGTAGGCTGCCATCAGGCGTTACCGCGGCAGGTTGCACTTGCTTCTTTAGCTGATTTATTTCCTCCTGTATAGTGCGAACCCTCCTCCACTGCCATCCAAGGTATCCGGCGTACAGCGTGTATAAAAACAGGCCACTCATTACGATTGGATGAATCAACGCGAATGACCTACCCTCGAGAATCCCAAACTCCCCTCCGGCTGCAGCTGCATTCTATCAATTACGCAAAATTAGAGGAGCTCGGCGATCAATTTGCAAAAATAAGGACGAAGGCATACCTGGGGATCGAGAAAGAAGGGCAATGCGAGTGCGGTGAGTGGAAGAGAAGCTGATTTGAGGGTGAGAATTGCGTCGTGGAGCAACTTCGGAGGAGGGTGCTGCTGCTGATGCTGCGTTTGAGGTTTTCGAGTGTTGCAGCAAATGGGAAATAGTTTAGAGCGGTGGATGTGATTCGGAGGAAGAGTGGGGGGAAGCTTGAGGAGGGAGAGCGTGGCGGCCATGCCTGTGAAATCGGAGACCACAGCCACAGCCACAGCCACAGACACAAACACAAATAATAGATAAGGGACCGAAATGAGGACATGGGGATGGGGGGTTTAACAAATTGAAAATTGAAATTGGACTGGGAGCAACAAGGAGCTTCTGGTTATGTCGAGAATCCACCTGTCGATCCACACATGGATGGAAACATCTAATATGCACTGTGCCCAGTGGCCTATCTCGTTTCAACCTAGATCACATGTTGAATCCATATCAATCAGCACACTTGGTAATAATTATAATCTTTAATCTTATTTATTTTTGTATAATTATGATTATAGATGAAAAATGAGTGACTCAGATTATATTCAGTAATGCTGAATTGAAATATAATCTCAACATAATCCATAACTATTTCATTTACCATCTTCGATTCTAGATTCTCAATTCTCAATTCCCAATTAGCTGCTATTTCAATTTTTTTTTTTAACTTTTTATATTCAATCTCTTCAACTAATTTTTTAATAAAATTATTAAAAACAAAAAATTATTTAGCCAATATATTAATTGAAATTATTTCAATTATTCAATTTTTCAAATATTATTAATTTTACAAATTCGAATAATTCTAATATTTTATAATATAAAAAAATTATATACTCACTCCATTTCACTTGATTTGTTATTTCTTTTTATAAATACAATTATACACTTTAATAACATATAGTATCATGGAAAAAGAAAATACATCAACCATCTTATGTATTTCCGGTGCATAAAGACTTGAGGTGCCATGTAACGATCTATTGAAACAAGATAAAAGAAAGCATCATTAATGATTAATCTAAATGCAATCTGCACCGAGGCTTCTTAATTAGAATAGCTACTCACAACTTTCGGTTTCGCCCGGTCAGTTTGTAGACATCACAAGAATGCTCTCATTTTGCATTGACAAGAACATTCTTGGACAAATACAGAATATAGAAAGTGATTTCATCTCACTGGAATGGAACAATTAGTTTAATTGGAGTGCCACGGAGACAGATAGATAAATTGCAACAGTTTGGAAATCAATTTAAGATTTATTTTACCGAAAATTCCAACAAGCTATCTCGGTTTCATATCCCTCTCTATTATGACATTTGACTATGTGTGAAGATACGTCATACCTCTCTCCAAACAAGAATACAATAATAATAATAAAAGTGACATACAACACTTCTAGAGTGATAATAAACACAATGGAGAGTAATATCAAGGTTTCAACCTGATGTTCAACATCTAATTGCCAAATGATAAGTTAAAATAATGAATATTTCTGAATATGAAAACCAGTGATTTCAATTTCAACAGTTAATTAAGTTGAATGAATGATTGCATACCTAACAAGTTGGATGGGCTAGATGTTTTAACATTTTCTTTTGAGTCCTCAGTTCTGAAACATAAGTAGATATTAACTATATTTTGCACATAGACAGAAGCATACATAGAATGAGAGCTTTTGAGACAAACCTAATAATACCACGTGAAAGAGCCTTTCAAAGTCGACTTGGTTTCATATGCTAAATGTCAAAAGAGAGTTTTTGCAGCAACGCCGCCTAAATCAAATGTCACTAAAGAATTAGCTAACAAAATATCTAGCACAGTTGCAAATATTATGGTTGAAATTATAGTTTTATACTTGTGCTAGATATAATTAGTATTAATTACTGCCAGAATTTAAGAGCAAGGAAATCAAGTATCTACTGCACATATTGTTGGCAACACAACAAGGTTTTTTATGCATTATCGTTGGCCATGGCTAGCCAATAAATCGAGTTAGCACATCACATTAGGGCTTTAAAAAATGCCAAAATAATGATATTTCTACATTACTAGTTACATAATATTCTTAATATAAGAATCACACATATTCATTGGAATAGTACACATCAAAATATAAATCAAATTCTTGAAAAGAAATAATACACATCAAAGCATATTTGCATAAATATATCTGAACTTCGTGATCCAAATTTACGATCAGCTAGCAACAATCCTTTCAAAATTTTGAGCACCAGCTGAGCATCGGAGAGGGAACAAAGCAGAGCAGGGATTCAATTTACGCAGAGAAGAAAAATAAAATTAGGGCTTATTTAATCAAAAAATAATATACAAAGGTCTTGTTTACCTGTCCGGTGGAGAAAGTAACGGAGAAGAACAAACACAGTGAAATAAGAAAGACAGGGAAGAAAAAGTGGGGAGGGCGGCGACCAGGAGAGTGTGTTGTGGGTAGGGTTTGCTTATTTATGTATTTATTTAGTTAAGGCGCGGAATTTCAAAAAATAATTTATAAGAAAGGCGCAAAAAATTGCGTCTTTTTTTTATTTAAAAATTATTTTTTGTTTACGTATTTTATTTTTAAAATAAATATAGTTGAGGCGCAGTTGTTAGCGCCTCTTTATTATTTAAAAAAATAATTTATAATATAGGCGCAAAAAACTGTGTCTTTATTTCTTTTTTTGAAAAATTAATTTAATCATCCATTTTATTTTTTAAATTAATATACCTGATGTGTGATTTTTTATTTTATAAAATTAATATAGTTTAGGTGCGGTTTTCTGAGTATTTTTCTTTAAAAAAATAATTTATAACAAAGGCGCGAAAAACTGTTTCTATTTCTTATTTGAAAAAATAATTTAACTCAAGGATTTATTTCTATTAATATAGTTGAGGCGCGGTGGTTTGCGCTTCTATTTTTTATTTAAAAAAATAATTTATACTCATGCATTTTATTTTAAAATTAATATAGTTGAGGCGCGGTGGTTCGCACCTCTTTTTAATTAATTTTAAAAAAATTAATTAAAAATTAGGCACGTAAGATGGCAATTTATCCTAAAATATAATAAGGCGCGACATTCTGCGCCAAATTTTTTTTATTATTAGTTTGACACAGGTTTCGGTTACAATGTGTTCCGAGCCACGCCGCACCTTATTATCTGTGCCACTTCTCTCTTTTTCGGGTAGTGACTACCCGTCGAGTCCGATCAACTCGTCGATTGTTTGGATGGTAAGGCATAGCCTTCCACCTCTGTTCCTTGCAAACACGTGAGGATATACCGGTATTTTAGGATAACTAGATAACCTCGAACTGTTAGTTTAATTAATTAATTAATCATATTTAAATTTTGATTATTTTTGAATTATCTTATATAATTAAATTAACCTTAAATTGTGTCTCACTTTTCTCTCATTAAGTCTTTCACATTCAAAATATACGTGAGAAGTGGCAGAAAAATCGTGATGGACGGTTTTTCTTTTTAATTATAAATACTCTCACATATGGATTATTAAACTTACTCTCAGAAAATTAGAATACATCATCGTTGTTTGAGAACCAGAGTTTGGCAACGTCATCCTAGGGTTACAGGATCTGGCAATATCTTTCGAGGGTTCCAAAGTTTGGCAACATCTTCCGGAGGGTTCCAGGGTTCGGCAATACCATATTCCCACGATTCCAATCTACTGTTTGCTTGAAGAAGAAGATCTCAAGAACAAATTTAATTTTTAGCAATGGAGGTTTGTTTAAATTCCGCTATCTGCTTCCGCTAATATATTTGATTAGATGTTTATTTTCTAACATTTGGTATCAGAGCCAAGTTTTGCCTCTGCCTTACTTTGAATTTTTTCCTCAGTCAAGCTTTAATTTCTTATTTGAAAATATTTTGATTTTCAACAATTGTTTTGCCAAAATTTTCTTGATCGAAATCTGATCCTACGTTTTTTAAAGAAAATTTTATTTTCGGGAAATTGAGTTTTCTAAAAAATTAATTGTACAAATATTCTAATTTCTGAAATTATTTCTCCGTCGACGGCGAGTGTTATGGGTTCATGAAATTATAATTATTACGGATCTTGTGTGTGAATGAGAATTCAATTATTATTATTAAATGCGATTAATTTTGTGTATCCAATTAATTGAGAAGGTGGATCATATTCTTGTTGCTGCGTATACTTTATTTTTATTTATTTATCATTATTATTATTATTATTATAATTATGACAATAATATTGTTGCTATTATTATTATTATATTTAATATTACTATGATGACGAGGGATGCGAAATTATCATTATTATTATTTTATGAAGATATCTGCATTACTTTCTTAATTGGAGCATCACTTACGAGAAGCAGAATTTCACTCATGTATTATTTTTATTTATTTATTTTAATTGGAGCATATTGCTACACTAGTCTGAGATGATCATGCATACATTTATTCATGTGAACTTCATATTATATATTCATGATGTTTGTGATTTGTTTTTAATTTTTTTTAATTGGGGAATAGCCACAACATCCTTGATTAATTAAAAATTTATTTATGATTTATTTGAAATCACATTAATAGACATCGATTGTAATTATCATGTATGATGTGATGAGATCTACCCGCATGAGTCTTGTTATATTTATATGAGTAATTAGGATAAAATATCGAATCGTATTTCTTGATCTACCCACAGGTATTAAGAAAATGAGCGCAATTTGATAGTTTTACTTTAAAGTTTTTTTGTTTGAATCTAATTGAGTAAAACTTTAGCCCACAGGAAAGTCTTTATGTCTTTAGATTCATGTCTTAACATGTTTACATTGGGAGAACATGTAATTTATTTGTCTCGTTTATTGATGAGCATGTATGTTTAATCTTACAGCATTTAATCCTATGAATTTCTTTGACATTAAGTGTGATATTCCCGAATTGTCTGGTGATAATTACAAAATCTAGAAGGAGAGGATTCTCCTTCATTTAGGCTGGATGGACATTGATTATGCTATACGGAAAGACGAGCTGCCGGTTATTACTGAAACCAGCGAGCCATATGATGTGGATCTTTATGAGCGATCACTACAAAAAAAAAACAGTTTTATACTACAACTGGAAAATCGTAACAAAAAACCATTTTTCGTGCAATTTGCGTATTTGCTACGCCTTAGTGATGACTTTTATCCGTAATGTATACTCGTGTAACGAATGTTTTTTGCCACGCAACTTTTCGTAACTATTACCGTCAGTCAACGCTCTCTATGGTAGGATTTTTATTATGATGTTTGTTA